GCGGATGGATTAAGTTTCACACAGCATTGACTCGTATATAGTTTGCCTTTACAGATAGGCTGGAACTTGTCAGTGGAGACCATTGACGCTTTCTTTGAAGGTCACGAAACACCTGGATATAAATTTGACATTGATTCAGAGGGAAACGTATTCATAGTCGAGATGGAAGGAGCAGAGCATACATCAGTCATCGAACTGCTTATAGATTACTTTAAAATTCCTAATGGAGGTATTATTCTTAACGCACCGATAAAAGTTGAGATTAATTCAGGTAAAAATCATTTTGGTTGCCTAATCTTTGGTTGTAATCAGTTTTATAATCTTCTTGTATCCTATAATAATAACAGCCCACTATCGTCCATACGGAAGAGGGTATCCATCGTCATCCGATCTCGCCATACGTCCAAATTTAAACATTATTCCACCTCCACCTCCAATCCTACCTCGATCTCGACTACGTAGACTTGGTCGCAGACCTTCCCGACATCTTGAGATTCCTCCTGTTGATAGAGGGGTAGGTTCTGTGTGTATTAGGTTTATTTTTCTAATCTTACTATAAAATGATTATATAGGGGAGACCTCATGCACGTATAATGTGCGAAATCGCTGTGTCACAAAGTTGTGATGACTTGAAGGCGAAGTGTGAGCGTTGGATGCGCCAAGAATATGTAAGATGCGTATTGGGCATCAAAATTTATAGAAAACATGTCACACGAACTGCTACTAGGCAATTTGACCGGTGTATTATCGTATGTGTTATGGCGTATTTATTATTTAATACTTTCAATGTTTCTTGATATTAGGCTCTCTGGTCACGCCAGGCAGTACCAACACACAGGCAAGTAGCAGTAGCTGGGCGACCCGGTGTATTTGTAGAAGAGGTAATATTGTCCAATCATTGATAATTAATAATCACGCTTAAAGCTAATGTATTTTGCAAATGTTGAATATTATAGTGGGACTTTGGAACAATAGACTATCACAATCATCTTGCCACTGCTTGCATTGGGCCAGGTCTTCCCAATTACCAGATAACTATTCCAGTACGGGATGTATTCTGGAATCCTCCAGTTGTCGGAGGAGTTCCGAATACAGCTGGATATGTCCCCGTGGCTCCTGCTGGACTTGTTCCTAATTTTATTATAGATTTGTTTAATATCCAACAGACAGTCTTACAAAATCAGGATAATAATTAGAACATGTGGATTTTTCGATAAATTTTTGCCCGTAATAGTAAGTGTTACTCTCCATTATCTTTACAATGCATTTAAGAAAAATATTTTGGCATAATTCGGCAATTAACTTTATTATAGTTTTTTTTTTTTTAATACACAATATAGCATGTATTAAAAAATTTGCATAATAATCACGTAATAAAGTAAAAAAATTAAGAATGAAGCATCTTAGTAATTATATTAATATTTGAAATTCCCAATTGATGGTAGTTAAGGAGGTTGAATATCCACCTAAATGGATTTTACGAGATTAGTATTATTATTCATCTTTTAATATATCTTCAGTTGCTTCATCAATTTCTGCCTCTGTCATAGGTCGCTCTCTTTTGGATAACTCATAATAAAGATTATATAGATTTTCTATTGTTAGTAGAAGTTCTTTTTTATTATGAAACCAATTTCTATATCTTGACATTCTTTTATTGTATGCCTCTTCATTTGGAAAAAGTGTTATTGCGGTATATTTTATATACTCATCTTTGTTTTCAGAATTACGCAAATTTTTTACATAGGAAGCATATTCACTAATAAGCTTACTATCTTTTCTATACCGAAGACGAAATGCCTCCTTTATTGTGCCAATTCAACCATTCTCCATGTAATATCCTGTGTTAATAACTCAGAGTTCTGCTCTTTTAAGCTTGAATTACTATCTGTCATACTTACTTTGTATTTTGTTTTATATAATATAAGTTTTATTTAATACGAGTTTTATTATTTAATAAAAAATTATCATTTCTTGTTAACAGTTATAGCTTACTCATCTATTACCATAAACTAGTCTTCATCAAATATATCTTCTATAATTTGAAATGCAATATCATCCTCACTTTGTAAGTCAACTTCTACTAGTATAGATTTTTTTTTTTGGATAATTTATTAATCTCAATTTTCGGGTATTTGCTCACTAATTGATCTATTATTTTATCTGTTATTCGTCCGCAATTTTGTATTTTTATAGTTCTTATACTTGTACATTTTTCTGGTATACTTATGATAGTTTTTGGTGCTATTCTATTACTTCCATAGATAAATATATGCTTTAGATTCTTGCATGTAT